TTTATTTATTTTTGGGACAGAGAGAGACAGAGCATGAACGGGGGAGGGGCAGAGAGAGAGGGAGACACAGAATCGGAAACAGGCTCCAGGCTCCGAGCCATCAGCCCAGAGCCTGACGTGGGGCTCAAACTCACGGACCGCAAGATCGTGACCTGGCTGAAGTCGGACGCTTAACCGACTGCGCCACCCAGGTGCCCCACGCTAGTTTTTTTTATAGCGATTACCTGTCGATAACATTCGGGATACGCTGGGCTACGTAAAGTATATTATTGGACTTCATTGTGGCTATTTCTTTTGACTGACAAATGCGGCTGCTGGAGAGTCTAAAGCAGGTGGCAGATAGGGCTGGCATTCTGTTTCTAAAGGACACCTGTGCCTTTCCCCCACCGTCTTTGTAGCTGGGAAGGAGGTAGGGTATGAAGGAAGGGAGGGAGAAAGAAAACAAGGAGGGAGAAAGGAAAAGAGGGAAGGAGCGAGAAAAGGCATTGTCTCCAGGGTGGCCGTAGGGGGAAGGATGTGAGCTGGTGGCAGATCTCAGTGCCACTGGGTGGTTGGGCCACCTTGGCCAAGTCACCCAACTTCTGTGATTTCCCCATCGGTAAAATAGAGGTACTTTTCCCCTGACAGGAGTATTTCTTTTTTTTTTTTCCTTAATGTTTATTTATTTATTTTTGAGAGAAAGAGAGAGAGCACAAGCGGGGGAGAGGCAGAGAGAGAGGGAGACACAGAATCGGAAGCAGGCTCCAGGCTCCGAGCCGTCCGCACAGAGCCCGACGCGGGGCTCGAACTCACAAATCACGAGTTCATCACCACCTGCTCAGTGACTGACGTACGTTTGCCTCAGCAGCACCGGAGCCCCGGGGTGGGAGCTCAAGAATTTTTACCCACGAGCGTAGGAACGTTTGAGGGGTGGGCAGCTGGTCGCCCACCCAACACAATCCGTTTCAGAGCGTCTCTGTCGCTCACCCCGGGGACTGAATGGAACCACGGTGGAGAGTCACCTTCTCTCTTCTGGCTCTTTCCTGCCAGGTTGCAGCCCCTTCACATGTATTCGGTGTGCTTGCTGGCTGGATTGTTCTCTCTTGTTCCCTGGGGACCCGTCTGGGAAGTGCCCAAGTTCCACGTGGATAACTGCCGGCGAGCGTGGTGGACGAATCTGCTGTTGCTAAATAATTTCCTGTGGGTCCAAAATGCGGTGAGTCCTGCGTCATGGGCTGGGAACAGGCAGATGGGCACGAGCCCACGCGGGTGTCACTTCACACGGTTCGTGAACTTTCCAAGGGCCGGCCTGGGTCTGATGCCCTTTCTTCTGGCACTTTCTCTGGAGTAACAGTGAAGCCATAGGAAGGGGGTGGCTGGGGGCAGGGAGACTAGCCTCTCGGGATGGGTGAGTGTTACCAAACCCGCCTTGGCAGGGGCAGTTGCTGTGAAAAGCAGAGGGAGGGAGCAGGGTAGTGGGCACTGAGGGGCCAACCGTGCATGTGCGTGTCCGGAAGCGGCCAACCTTGCTCCGTCAAGGTTCCATGTCACACCCCACAGAGAAAGGACACTTGCCTTACCTCCACGCAGACGGCCTGTAACTGGGATGGAACATTGCACCATTGCACCTCACCTGCGCCATAATGAGTCGTTTTTTCCGTTTCAAGCCAGATCAGACAGAGCCACAACATCTGTCTATACTGGCTGAGGCTTCCCCTGAAGCCCTCGGATCCTCACGATGACATCCGAGTCAACGAAAGTGAAATAGGGGTAATTGAATCGTGTGTGCCAGGTGCGGACCGGCCTGGGCCCCACGTGGGAATCAGTGGCGAGGACATGAGCCAGCCACCTGTTTGAGGCAAAGCCCACCTTGGTCCTTGAAAGTGGACGTGTGAGGGCCGTCTGGCCTGGAGGTCTCACGGATCCCCCACCTTGGGCACTTCCCTTTAGCTGGGACAAGGAAAGCTGTCACTTGTGCTGGATAAGTCTGGGCTCTCGAGGACCGGATTGGGGACTGGAGGGAGCAAGGAGGCTTTTACCTCCGGAGCCCTAGAGGGAGCTGCCCCCAGGAACTTCGTCACGTTGAAGAAGAATGAGGCAGGTAACTGGCTCATTTCACACCAACCCGGACAGCCTGCGGAAAGATGTGGCTTTGGCCAGACGACCGCACGTCCGTCACGCGTGGGAACTCTGGGCTCTCCGGCACAAGCTCGTCTGGAGCCAGGCTTCCAATCTAGATGAGCACATTCCTTCCCCGGGGCTGGGGAGGGCCGGCAAGGCAGGGAAGAGAGGACAACAGGGACCCTTACCGGCTCTGAGGGCACCAAAACGATAATTGTCCCTTACATTCGTGTAACAGGGTGGAGTTGAGTTCCTCCAACTGCCCTGGGAGCTTAGCTTTTACTGCTTTTTTTCAAGAGAGAAAGCTCTGCATTTCCCTTTTGTAACCTGGCAATAACAATACTCACCACCTAGGCTCCTTACAGGATTAAGTGAGATGAGGTACGTGAAATCCTGTGGCCCCAAATTCCTTTCTCTTCCCTTGGACCGCCCCCCCACCCCCCCCCACACCTCCCCAGCCTCCAGCTCCAGGAAGGTGAGCGAGTGGCCCCGGTGAGTGACCTCTGCTCCTCTCGTTTCAGTGTAATGGCTGGACGTGGTACCTGGCCAACGATTTTCAGTGCCATCTCATCACGCCGGCGATCGTCCTCATCCACAGAAAGTGAGTGTCCCCGGGACCGGCGGGTCTGGCCACGGGACCTCTCCCACGGCACTCCCAGCGAGCGCTCCAGCTCTGGGCAGAGCAGCCTTTGCGATTTAGGAAACGAACTTTTCAGAGCAGTGTGGACACCGAATCCTTTTCTGTTTATCTTTCTCCACGTTCTCCTCCAAGCTTCGTCCTGCACACACCCCTCTGTGTTTTTGCAGGGTCGTAATCAGGGCGTGTGTAATCTCCAGTCTCAGTCTCTTCCATTCACCTGTCTTTGTAAACATTTCCGCGTCGCGACACGATCCACATACTCCGCGGTTTTAGGATTTCTATGCCATTGTTATGGTCGGGCATCTACATTATTTCCAGTGGTTCATGACTCCAGATGGCACCTCAGTGACTGTCTTTTTCCTCCTGTTCATTTCCTTGGGGACCCATTTCCAAGTGGAATGACTAGGGCAAAGCGCAGGAACGATTTCTTGCTGCTTGTTGCATATTGTGCGGTTGTTCTCCAGAAAGAGGGAAGTAATTACCGCGCCCCCAGCGATACATCAGTGTACCTGTTCCCCCCATCAGATATTTATTACCGTAATTTTTGTTAGTTCTAGAAAAGCTCTCAGGCCTCAATAATTCACGAGGACACTTATAGCTTGTGGAATATCCATGCCATATCTTAAAAGATTTTTCCCTTTTTTTGTTGTTAACATACACGTTCAGTTTAAGAGGTATGGGAAGATAGTAGGATGAATAGAGGGGAAAACCATCACCCTAGACCCATTCCTCACTCAAGAAGAGGTGAATTCCCTGTCAATATTTCTGTGTTTATCTTTCTGATCTTTTTCCACACCACTTTTTAAACATGAAAGGCTTCTGTGTATATACATCAGTATCTTTCTTTTAATAGTTACATGACGTAAGCGTTTTCTAAGCGTACTTCTAAGAGACACAATTTTATCTATTTATTAAAAAAACTTTTAGGGGCGCCTGGGTGGTGCAGTCGGTTAAGCGTCCGACTTCAGCCAGGTCACGATCTCGTGGTCCGTGAGTTCGAGCCCCGCGTCAGGCTCTGGGCTGATGGCTAAGAGCCTGGAGCCTGTTTCCGATTCTGTGTCTCCCTCTCTCTCTGCCCCTCCCCCGTTCATGCTCTGTCTCTCTCTGTCCCAAAAATAAATAAACGTTGAAAAAAAAAATTAAAAAAAAAAAAAACTTTTAATGTTTACTTTTTGAAAGAGAGAGAGAGAGAGAGAGAGAGAGAGAGACAGAGCATGAGTGGGGGAGGGGCAGAGAGAGAGGGGGGGAGACACAGAATCCGAAGCAGCCTCCAGATTCTGAGCTGTCAGCATAGAGCCGGACGCAGGGCTCAAACCCACGAACCGTGAGATCATGACCTGAGCCAAAGTCGGTCGCTTAACCGACTGAGCCACCGGGCGCCCCTATTTATTTACTTTAAGTAAACATAATTTTAATGTGTGTGTAACGTTTCATTCTATGGAATGAACTGTAATCTACTTATACCTTCCCCTGGTTTTAGATACTTGGATTATTTCCAATTTTATGCTTGCTTCGTGAATAATCGTCTGATAACTATTTTCGTGGTGATCAGAGTCTCCACTCTGCTATTTCTTTAGAATGCATATCTTTAAGGGGAATCCCTGGGTCAAAGAGCATGAATGTCTTCTAGGCTCTTGAAGCATAATGACAAATTGCTTTCCTTAAAGCTTCTTATCAATGTTCAGTCCTCTGGCCACCAATTACACGGTTGCCAATATGGAATGTTCCCAATAATACAAAACAAAATATAAACTTTGCTATTTGGATATGTAAGAAAATAGTCATTTTTTTCCTATCTAACTTGCAAGTTTTTATTTTTATTTTTATTTTTTTTCAACGTTTATTTATTTTTGGGACAGAGAGAGACAGAGCATGAACGGGGGAGGGGCAGAGAGAGAGGGAGACACAGAATCGGAAACAGGCTCCAGGCTCCGAGCCATCAGCCCAAAGCCCGACGCGGGGCTCGAACTCACGGAGTGCGAGATCGTGACCTGGCTGAAGTCGGACGCTTAACCGACTGCTCCACCCAGGCGCCCCTAACTTGCCAGTTTTTAACTCCTAGGGGTGAAGCGGAGTTCTAAATATGCCTTGACCTGCTCTATATTGTGGTTACCTGTTACTACTCTTTGTAGGACAGACCTTTGAATCACAGGCTGACCCATGAGGTTGCCTGTTCTAGCCAAATGCAATCGTTCAAGCCATCCTGATTTTAATTTAATCTAAGAATTAAACACCAAAAAAAAAAAAAAAAAAAAAAAAAAAAAAAAAAAAAAAAAAAAAAAACAAACAAAGGGAAATCTGCTTTTTCACATATCTTAAACACACAATGCTTTCTAACTTTAAATGTACAGGAGCTGTTTTTTGGTTTTTGGTTTTTGTCTTTTTACTAACCGTTAAAAAAATGTTCCATGGATTCCACTCAGCACAGAGGCGGTTTTGCTGGTATAGTGAGTTTGAGTCAGAAGATGTGGCAAGTTCTTCCCTACCCCGTCTCCTGAGACAAAAGCATCTGAATCAAATGGCTTATTTTCTCAGAGTGGGGGCTGGGAGGTGGAGAGGGCAATTTTGGATAGCATAATAGAACTGATAAGAGCATATGAGATTGAAATAAAATCCGACGATAAGATGGAAATGAGATCTAAGAATCACATTGCTTTCTATCTTGGAAATGAAGGTTTAAAAAAAAATAGCTCCGAACATCCTCTGGTAGAAAGACGTACCACTCTGCCTCCTTGATTTTTTTTTTTTCAACGTTTATTTATTTTTGGGACAGAGAGAGACAGAGCATGAACGGGGGAGGGGCAGAGAGAGAGGGAGACACAGAATCGGAAACAGGCTCCAGGCTCTGAGCCATCAGCCCAGAGCCCGACGCGGGGCTCGAACTCACGGACCGCGAGATCGTGACCTGGCTGAAGTCGGACGCTCAACCGACTGCGCCACCCAGGCACCCTTCTGCCTCCTTGATTTATACTCACACCTCCCAGGATGAAATCGCTGAGAACAGTGGGGATTAGGAATTAGTGTGCCCTCCCACTCTCACCTCAGTGTGGATCAGACAAGGAAGGTTGAGACTAGGTCAAGGTGGCTTTGGGATGCTGACCTCCCTTCCTCTCCCCTTCCCTCCCCAAGCCCCTTAGAGAGGGTGGGGATTCCTGGGACACTCCTGGGTCGCTGATCCCTGCTGCTGCTGGAGAGGGGCTCCCCAAGCAGGAGGCTAGACCTGTTCAGGCCCCCAGGGCCTCCACGGGGGTGGACTCTCCCTCCCACAAGGCAGTCAAACCCTCAGAGCTCCAGGGGCAGGGGAGCACCTGGCCCAATTCTCTGGGGCTGTCGCAGGCCTCGGCTCTGTGACGGACTATGGCTGCTCCAAGAGCTCTGGAGACCTTGGCAAGCGCCTGCGGGGAACAGGTGGGGCAGGTGTGAGGCCTCTGCAGGCCCGGCAGCCCTGGCAGAGGAGAAAGGGCGAGCCTCCACAGGTCTCCTCGGAGGTGGCATTTGCAGCAGGATGTGCTCCTTGCTGGTACAGGTATTTGTGAAGAAACGGCGAGAAAAATCCTGTGGGGCATCCTGGCCAGGGTGCTGGGGGCTGACAGGCTTTCAAAGAATACCAGGGTCTTTTCAGACCATTCCTTCCTCCTCTTGGGCTATATGGCCCCTGAACAGGCCCTTCTGAGGCACCAACCCTCTTGAGAGAATGGGGATAGTGTGTGGCACTTGAAGCTCTGGGCTTTTCTCAATCCCACGGTCGTAGGAGGAGTCCCCTCAAACAGGCAGAAAATACAACCACTGATCCGAGCTGGCAGAGGGGACCCTTTGGCACAGGGTTGGTTTCTTCTGGGGCGTCTCGCTGTGTCTTCATGTGGTCGTCTTCACACGGTCTTTGCTCTGTGGTTGTCGGTCTTCTCATCTCTTCTCATGAAGGTACCAGTCACGTTGGATTAGGGCCCATCCCAATGACCTCATTTCACCTTCATTATCTCTTTAGAGACCCTATCTCCAAATAGAGCCACATTCTGAAGTGATGGAAGTTAGAATTTTGGGGGGGGGGACAAAATCCAGCCCATAACAGTCTAGATTAGGAGGCTTTATTAGTTTTATTATAGAGGCAGTTAGCCCGTGGAGACTTGTCTGACTCCTGGGAGGAGGTGCCATGGGTTGGGCTCAAGTCTCCCAGGGAGTTAAACAAATATTGACTTGGGTACATGCAGGTTTTTATTGGATGGCCTTACTGGATGGTTAACCATTGACCTAAGACAATGAATTCTTAGTACCTCCTCACTCTAGACCTACTAGAGTAGGTAGTAGGTGGGGACCTACTTGAGTGTCCTTGTGAGTTAAGACCCCTGAGTCCCCAATGTCAGCATCTTTCCTAGAGGCTGTCATGGAAGGTAGATTTTCAATTCCTCAGCTAAAAACCAGCACTATACAAGCTTGTGGCCGTGCAACTACGTTTAGCTTCTAAATGGTGGGAGGTATATAAAAGGTAGAGCTGTTTTCCTTTAGAGAACACACTTGTATAGAATGCCAGTAATCCAAGGAGGGCAGAACTAAATGGTCTGGCAAAAGGAACAGTAAATAGACAGCATTGTTTTCATACCTTCCCAGCCCACTCTCACAGCAGACATTACCAATCAATCACAGCACCACCGAGCTAACACTCCTCCATTCCGAGCATTAACACTAAACTAGAATTGGCACTCTGGATGAAAATCATTTGCCGTTTGCCTCACTCATGATAAACGAACGGTCCCTTATCCCCTCCTCATGAAGAACCGTGGCAACTTCACGCAGTGGAATGGGATTGTCAAAGGCACCATCTGGGCAGGGTTATGCCTGGATAGTCTTGTCTTACGCCTGTCAAACACGCCTGTGTTTGACATTCCTTCTGTACTGCTGCACATCGTCTTTGTCCCGACCCTCACGATTCTGAGGAGGTGCAACCAGTGCCTTACTCTAACTCTAAAGCCTATGTCCCTAAATCTCATTTCCTGCCCCAGAACCTCCTACATACTACAGCTGGGCCTCCTTCGGGACCCTTCTTGGCCTTACACATGTGTAGTCCCAAACTGTGGAGGAATTAACTTTCGTGGAGCCACCCTTGGCTCATGGGGGATAAAAGACACTGGGAAAACGCCTCTTTCTTTCATCTTCCACGACAGTTTTCAGGCGCATCTTCCACAGAACATTCTGGAAGAATTGAGTACTGGCCACCTTGACAGCACATCCTTGTGTTAGTTTTCCCTGCTTCCCTGTTCTACATGCCATCCCTCATTCTTACCCCCACATCAACTCCCTGCACCCAGATGTTTGTCTCAGATTGCATCTGGGTGGGGGGAGAATCCCTGGACCGCCTCTTACCCTAACCCTGTCCCTGCGTCCCCCTGCGCCTGACAGTCCTTTCTCTCCCGAATCAACCACCATTTATGTCCGCGTAATGCTTCGTGGGTGGCAAGGAACATTCCCAAGCATGGTCACATCTTGAGCCGCACAGTACATTTCAGGGTGAAGATGAGGAAAATCAAGTTCAAGGTCCTGCCGAGGGTCGCACAGCCAGTAAATGGTCACATTTAAAGGCTAAGCCCGTTCTCTTAACTCACAGCTGCCCCCACATCAGCCTCTCTCAAAGGCAGGCCTGGCAGGAAGTGCCTCTGATTGCCAAGCTTTCAAGTCTTTCGTGGCCACAAATTTTGCAGCGAAGGAAACTGAAGAGTGCTTCTGTCAATGTCCTCTCTTTGCAGAAGTAAACATGTCCTTGTCCTCCTCGGGGCCATGCTGTTCTTGGCATCTTTCACTGCCACAGCTCTGCTCACCCTGGCTTACTCCCTTCCGGTCGCAGCTCCGTCAGAAGCAAGGTAACCCACGGTTCCCAGCCGGGCCCTCTTGCTTGCCTGCCCTCAGAATGGCCAGGACCTCCCAGGGAGGCTGCTCAGCGAGTGCCAGGCTGTTTGCGCTGTGTGCGGTGGCTCGTGGAAAAACTGGGTGGGAAATGTTCAGCCTGGATGGGAAAGTTGATTGCGTTTTTGTTTCCAAACTTCTGACCCTTTCAACTTGCGCTGGGGGGTCTTCTCTGAAAGTACCGGGAACGCGTGGGCTGCCCGTTGAAATGTTTCTCGGAGGAAAGGAGCGCCCCCACGCGGCTGTATTGGGTTTCTCCTCCCGCCGCCGACTTGCAGCTCCGAAGCTCAATTATTGGCTGGAGAGACTGAAATTTACGGAAGTGGGGGTTATCCCTTCAAGGTCACACGGCTAGTAAGCGGCATAGGTGTGAGTGGAACCGAGGACCTTAGCTGCCATGCTATTTTGCTTCCCCAGTGAGGTTTATATCACGATTTTTCCTTATCACCACCCTGTGCATCACGCGGGAAACAGCGGCACGATTTCCTGCTGATCTGTTCTCAACGCAGCAGGCAGAGTGATACAAATGGGAGTCAGATGCTGTCGGTCATCTGCTCAAATTCCTCCAAAGGCTGCCCACTGCTCTCACGGTAGAAGCCCTGTCTGACCTCCTCCATCACTCCCCTATGTGCTGCCTCTGGACCAGCCACACCAGCCTTCTAGCCTTCACACACCAAGCACGCTCTCTCCTCAGGCCTTTGCACTCACTGTTCCCTCACGCTAGGATGCTTTTCCTTTGAAGTCCGGATCTTGGCAGGGCTCGCTTCTTCATTTCCTGCAGGTGTCAGTGCAAACGTCATTTTCTCAGAGCAGCCTTCGCGGACCTCCCGATGCAAAATAGCCCGGCACCGCGACTCGCACACATTGTGCTCCACATGTATTTGCGAGGGGAATGAATGAATGAATGAATGAAGACACCCCAGGTTTTTCACTATGCCCTTCCTGTCATATCATTGGCCCCTGCGGGCCCTGCCAGGTGACTGAGGGAGAGGCTCATTCCCATCCAATCCCATCTAATCTAATAGAGTAGGTCCTCAACTCTAGAAGCACATGAGAATCACCTGGGGAGACCTTAAATCCCACTGATGCTTCCAGCAAGCATCATCTCAGACCACAATCTCCGGGGATGTGGCCCAAGCAACCACTAAGACGTTCCACGAAGACGTTCCCTTCTGAAAACCACATTTTTAGAGCTATCGTGATGTGCCAGCTCCTTAAAATGGACTCGGTCATCGTATTTCCTTGGGGTCCAGGGTGGAGGGGCCCAGGGGCGTTTGCAACTTGAGCAGGCCAGCTGTGGCACAAGGCAGGACCCTGAGGGTACGGCCCGTAGGTCCGACTGAGGAAATGAACAAAAGTACCCCAAATTTTCCTTTGGATTTGCCGATTGTGCCGATGGACATCTGAGACATTCCTCTCTTCGTGTCTAGATCAAACATGACCTTTTGCCTCATGTTCTTTTGTTTTTCAGTGAAAACGTGACTGTGTTGTACTTCTCCGAGTACTACACGAAGCCCTACTGCAGATTCGGACCATTCCTCGTGGGGCTCTTTCTGAGCATTTTCATGCACCAAAACCACCAGGCAAACATTCTTAAAACCAAGGTAAGTTTGTCCCATACTTCACTGTAAGGGCCGCGTCTGTTTGGGACTGGAGTGGCCCGTTCGGCCAGGCTCTTCCAAAGCCATGGGCAGGAACCAGACTGCTCAGTACTTTATTGTGTTGTGTTGCGTTAGCAATGTCTCTTGGTGCCAGAGAATAAGAGAGACCTTATCTTCTCGCGAAAGCCTGGTTCTCTGCTTTCTTCACGGAGCTCCTTTAATTTAATTGGAACCCAGCGGTAGAACACCCAGCGGTGTTCTACCCGTTGGAGCCTTGGTTACAGACCCAGAGAAATCCCTGACACGGGAAAAACATACCCAATGAGATTGCAATGGCAAGGCCCTCTTCTGAAAGAACATAGTTACTTGTTTGTGTGTTTTCATAATTAATTTTTTAAATTTTATTTATTTATTTTGAGAGAGAGTTGAGGAGGGGCAAAGAGAGAGGGAGAAAGAGAATCCCAAGTAGCCTCCAGAGCCCGATGTGGGGTTCAATTCCACGAACCATGAGATCATGACCTGAGTTGAAATCAAGAGTTGGACGCTCAACTGACTGAGCCACCCAGGCTCCCATAGTTACTTGTCTTACAACTTTTTAAAAATGCTTATTTATTTATTGAGAGGGAGAGGGCGAGAGAGAGCATGGGCAGTATGGGAGGGCAGAGACAGAGGGAAAGAGAGGGAATCCTAAGCAGGCTCTGCGCTGTCAGCACAGGGCCCAACGCGGGGCTCCAATCCACGAACCGTGAGATCGTGACCTGAGCGGCAATCAAGAGTCCGACGCTTAACCAACTGAACCACACAGGTGCCCCTGCCCCATAGTTACTTTTTAATAGCACGAGCTCCTTGGTTTCTACAGATAGGATTCTTGGTCAGATTCATTGGTTCCATCTGAGAATCAGGACATGCGGTATCTAAGGGGGAAGAAGCTGTTACTTTACCTTGCAGGTAAAATTCCTTCCCTGGCTCCTTTGCGGGTAATCACTCTGATTCACCAACCAACCTCGAGATTCAAACTGGAAAGCCGGGTTCGTCTTCCTCATTGACCACTCCTCCCATGCAATCTTCCACCAGTCCCTGCTGAAGCGCCTCTTTAATGGCACTCTGTTGTAATCTACAAGTGAATCGTGCATCTACAGGGCAATATCATAACTCAAGCCTATAGGAAAAGTCACGTAGCCCTTGTATATCCACTCTTTCCGGTGAAGCCCTATGCTTCCAGTGAATCCCTGCTGATCGTTTCTTCTGCTGTCCTCTCTTAGCTTGTCCAGCTGACTTTGGTGAAGCTCTTCTCATCTCTTGATCTCAAATCTACACTTGGGGCAATCTATTTATTTATTTTTTTTTATTTTTTTTTTCAACGTTTATTTATTTTTGGGACAGAGAGAGACAGAGCATGAACGGGGGAGGGGCAGAGAAAGAGGAAGACACAGAATCGGAAACAGGCTCCAGGCTCTGAGCCATCAGCCCAGAGCCTGACGCGGGGCTCGAACTCACGGACCGCGAGATCGTGACCTGGCTGAAGTCGGACGCTTAACCGACTGCGCCACCCAGGCGCCCCAGGGGCAATCTATTTAAAACACTAGCTGGTGTTGCCCTTGAACTGCACAAAAGTTCCTCTGGTGGCAGAGATGAAATCTAAGATGCGGGGAGAACATTTGTTTATTTTATTTTATTTTTAATGCTTATTTATTATTGAGAAACAGAGCATGAGCATGGGAGGGGCAGAGACAGGAGGAGACACAGAATCCAAAGCAGACTCCAGGCTCTGAGTTGTCAGCTCAGAGCCTGAGGCGGGGCTCGAACTCACAAACTGTGAGATCTTGAGCTGAGCCAAAGCAGGATGCCCAACCGACTGAGCCACCCAGGCACCCCTCATTTTATTTTATTTTAGAGAGAGAGTGAGAGTGAGCAAGCCGGGGAGAGGGGCAGCAGGAGAGAGAGAGAGAGAGAGAGAGAGAGAGAGAGAGAGAATCTCAAGCAGGCTCCACACTCATCACGGAACCTAATGTAGGACTTGATCCCATGACCCTGGGATCATGACCTGATCTGAAACCAAGAGGCAGACACTTAACTGACTGAGCCACCCAGGTGCCTCAAGGACGGAGTATTTGTGAACCACTCCGAGGGCTGAGTCAGGACCAGGAAGCATAAAGCCAGAACACAAGTCAAGCTGAGCTGGAGAAACAAGGTGGAAGGGACGGGCAGACCAAACACAAACCTCTAGAAGCCAGAAAATAAGGACACAGTGTCCAAGCTGGAAGCAACAGGGGGCATATGTTATATGCTGGGAATGAGATGGGGCAGTGTGCATTATGAGTGAAAAGGTGAAGGGGATCCTAGCCTAAAAAGGGGGGCTTCGCTTCGGATTCTGTGTCTCCCTCTCTCTCTGCCCCTCCCCTGTTCATGCTCTGTCCCTCTCTGTCTCAAGATAAATAAAAACATTAAGAAAAAAAATTAAAAAAAAAAAAAAAAAGGGGGGGGCTTGTGGAGAGCCCCCGAGGAAATGCCTTTCCTTCCATGTAGCCAGAGCCTACCGCAGGAATCTGAGGCCCAGGGGGGGAGAGCTTCCCTTTAGAGACAAGATGGTAGACTGATAAGATGCTAGTTTGGTTCAATGGAGACGTTATCATAGCAACCTGGGAACTGAAGCTTAGAAGCAAGAGAGACTCTTGGAAGACAGATCTGGGTCTAAAAAGGTCGAGTTAGATGACCTAAAATCTAAGATCTTGAACTGAGCCCCACAATAGAACTTAACCCATGGTGCTATTTTCTGAGCTAGAAAGTTCTCCATTCTCCCACTCCCGCTGCCATTTTATGACCCCAGTGACTAGGGTACAGCCCATGTATGGATTGGGTGCCGGAGGCCCTTGAGTTGTTGGTGGGGACAGAACCAATCAAGGAGCCTTACTAGGTTAAGGAACAGAATGGGAGGTCAAGAGCGGGCTCCAACATTATCTTCTCTTTCTCCCTTTTTTTCCCCCCCTTGAACTTTCATTTAATAATTATTTGGGATTCACGGCCATTTTGTGCAATTTTATCACGTGGGGATTTGTGTGACTGCCACCACAAGCAAGGTGCAGAACTTTGCTGTCGCCACCAAGATCTCTCCGTGGTCACACACCTCACTCCCCCTCACTGCACCCCAAACCTAACCCATCGTAACCAGTAATCCGAACCTTTTGTGTTAGCGACATTTTGGGCACCGATCGAGGTTTACAAATAGATACCGAAAGTGACCAAAAAGTAAATTCGTGTAAAAGGAAGTAAATAGACAATGGCCAGAACGAGCTTGACCCGTGTCTCTCCTTTCCCTGTAGACGCAGGCCCTGCTGGGGTGGACTTGCTCCCTGGCCACCCTGTTCGCAGTGGTCGCTCTGGCGTATGCAGTGGATGATACTTCTGTCACCTCTTCACCTGCCGTTGCTGTGTACCAGGCCCTCCACCGGACCCTGTGGGCGGCAGCCGTGGGCTGGGTCCTGTTGGCATGTCAGGAAGGCTATGGAGGTACAACGCAGCACGGGGGGTTGCTTATAGGTTCACACTGTGTCCTTTTAAAGGGGACAAATGCGAAAACACAGTGTGCGCAGACGGGCTTTTTTATTTGTTGTTGAGCGACTGATATTGACTCAAAGACATCAATTTGTTTGTATCCCGGGGGAACCCCCCCATATTCTGTTTTCGATTTCTACACTGGTTTATGTACGAATGTGGGTTCTGAGCCTCTCCGATGAAGCTACTTTAGAAGCTGGAGGAGAACAAAGAGGGTCCTACAGTAAGAACAAAATACCAGTGGCAGGGACCAAAGTGGTGGTCACACCCACCCTGGGCCTCGGTTTCCTTATCTGAGGGTAGAGACCGAATAGTTCCCAAGATCCCCTTCAGCCCTGTGACAAGCTGGGGAACTGTCTATTGAGCCTGGCTCTCAATGTGTGGAAAGTCAAGCAGAAAAGGGGCCGAAATGGCAAGAAAGGGGTTTTCTTCACGTTAGAAATGGCTGTCCAAGACACCTGATGTCTTTTTCCCTTTCTTTTCTAGTTGGCATGAGATAGGGACTGGCTGCTTGGGGTGTCATAAAGTGACAGGAGAAAGACTGGCAAGAATCATCCAGAAAAAGTTCTGGCCCCGCACTGCCCAGAAGCCCTGAAGGGTTGGAAATAGAGCCAGGTGCAGTCATGACACCTTTATATACCCTAGGGAAATAATCAGGATGAGCTTAAAGTTTGGCCTGTGAACCCAACCCACTTAGCCTCAGCAAAGGCGTCTGGGATTCATGGGTTAAGGAGGAAAACGATAAATTGATCACAACAACTCTTGCTGACGGGGCACAGGCTGCCGCCGGGTCTCATGGAGAATTTCACCCATGTGATCCTGGGTGACGCCGGCCACACCGCTGTGGGTACAGCTATAACGTGCTATTTCTCTGTGAGAAAGATGGCGCCTGGAGATAACACTTGAAGGTCACGCAGCTCGGTAGTGGTTGAGCTAGAAAACGAACCCCGGACCGAGTGAAAAGCCGATGCCCAAAGCCCGTGACCGTCGTTTCTGTGCAATAGGACCCCTCTCAGATGTTGGATTGGTAGAACTGTTTCTGAATTTGATGAGTATATAAGGATGAGGAATTTGTTCTTTAATATTTTAATTTTAAACGCTTTCCCTTCTATGGAGAAATGATGTTAAAGAAGAAATGGGCCGCGTTCTCGCTGACGGATGTATTTGCATTTCTGGGCAGCTGTTTGAATCACAGGACCCCACCCTAACACTGCTCCCACCTGGTGACAATGACCATGAGCTGTCCCCAGAGCCTCAGAACATAGGCAACTCCTCTCCCTGGCCTGGCACAGGCTGCCCACGATATGGTGGTAGCATAACAGTATTCTTGTCTCTTGTAAAAGTCGTGCTAAATGAAGAATAACTTGCTGGGGGGAGAGTCTTAGGTCAAGTTAGAAGATTAATCAAATTGGGGGCACTTGGGTGGCTCAGGCGGTTGAGTGTCCGATTCTCGATTTTGGCTCAGGTCGTGATCTCACCGTTTGTGAGTTCAAGCCCCACACAGGGCTCTGCGCCGACAGTGCAGAGCCTGCTTGGGATTCTCTCTCTCTCTCTCTCTCTCTCTCTCTCTGCCCCTCACCCACTCACATTCTCTCTCTTCCTCGCAAAATAAATAAATAAATATTTTTTAGAAGATCAATCAGGGGGCGCCTGGGTGGCGCAGTCGGTTAAGCGTCCGACTTCAGCCAGGTCACGATCTCGCGGTCCGTGAGTTCGAGCCCCGCGTCGGGCTCTGCGCTGATGGCTCGGAGCCTGGAGCCTGTTTCCGATGCTGTGTCTCCCTCTCTCTCTGCCCCTCCCCCGTTCATGCTCTGTTTCTCTCTGTCCCAAAAATAAATAAAAAACGTTGAAAAAAAAAAAAAGATCAATCAGATTTGCAGCATTGTCATTACCGTGGAGCTAGTAAATGCTAGCAATTCTTAGCCTGAGCATGGACAACGCCTCCGTTAATCCAGACGACAGACAAGTCCTTTGATGCATTCTTGAGTGATACATGTTTTCAAAGAGTGTTGTCGTTAGCCAATCACAACTGCAGGCGCGACTGATGTTCTAGGTTTGCATCTCTGGTGCTATAAGATAGCAAGATTGGTTAGCAGGTCAAGGTAGGAGGTGACAGGTGAGGTTCAATCCTAGAAAATATGTGTCCACCTGGTGACCTTTAGAAAAGTACATCTGTAAAGGAACATTTGAGGAAGTGTTTCACCGAGACTCTCAGGGTGAGAAGGGGGTTCCTGATGCCTCAAATCATCTTTCCGTCGTCTGAGTCAGGGCCAGTGTAGACCATGAGGGTTTGGTTCCATGCTGAGTTGCCAGAGTCATCTTCTGACCACGTGACGCCACCAGTTAAAACCTTTTGGTGGTGCTGTCTCTCCTTCAGGGGTCCTCGAACTTTAGTAATACGTGGACCCATTCCAAAGGAACAAGAAGTCTTTGGGGATCCTTAGTATTGGCTTAAATTATTTTAATTCTAATTTTACCTAAACATGAGCATACATAAATCTAGATATAAATTTTTATGTTTATAATACATAGATTTATAAAGTCAAAACAAATGTGGTTATAAAGTAACCACAAAAATGGGGCACCTGGGTGGCTCAGTCAGTTAAGCATCCAACTTTGTCTCAGGTCATGATCTCACGGTTCATGGGTTGGAGCCCCATGTCGGGCTCTGTGCTGACCGCTCAGAGCCTAGAGCTCGCTTCGGATTCTGTGTCTCCCTCTCTCTCTGCCCCTCCCCCTGCTCACGCTCTGTCTCACTCTTTCTCAAAAATAAAGAAACATTTAAAAAATTTAAACAAAAGGGGGCATCTGCCTGGCTCAGTCAGTGGAGCATGCGACCCTTGAGCTCGGGTTTGTAAGCTTGAGCCCCATGATGGGTGTAGAGAATACTTAAAAATAAAGTCTTCAGAAAAAAATAATAAAATAACCATAAAACTACAAAACAAACAAGGTCTGAATTAACAACATTAATTTAATGTGATTAACAGTTGACTGGAGCCAGTTGTGGCTCATGATGTGACCAGGAGGTTGCTTGCTTTAAGGATGTTCTTTTGTGTTTCGTTTACCTGCGTGACACGGGCTCTCTGTTGCCTTAATTTTCCTATAACTATATTGTTTGCTCCCCAGAAATGTCTTGGTTGATCTTATCCCTTGACATTCACTTGGGGCAAAGGTATCTTTGGCCGGTGACTCCATCTCTGTTCTCTCAATCATATAAAATACTTCCGGAATGCTCGCTTTACGCCAAGCGCTGTTCAAGTTGCACAGGATGTGGAGCAGTAGACAAGAAAAAACGTCTCTGTTGTAGGAGATCACAGGGGGGTAGGGGACACAGCCCGGGAGACTCTAGTAAGCTTCATTAACGACCCCTGGTATATCAGGTCCAACTGGGACTTTGCAGATGTGATGGCGGCGATCACGAGATTGGGAGGCGGGGAGATTATATGGGCCCTAAATGTGGTCACGTGTACCCTCCAAAGAGGAGGATAGAGGGACACTCGCAGAGGAGACAGCGACACGAAGATGGAGTGGGGAGACATTTGAAACCGCTGATGTTGTTGGGAGGGGCCACAAGCCAAGGAGAGCCAGAAGCCGGGAGGGGTCGGAGGAGACAAGAAATGGATTCTCCCCTAGAGCCTCCAGAGGGAGTGTGACCCTGTCCACACCGTGATTTCAGCCATACTGGTTTGGGGCTTCTTGTCTCTAGAATGACGCAAGAGTAGATTGTTGTTTTGAGCCACGATATTTGTGCAATTTGTTGCAGCAGCCATCGGAAACAAATCTGGAGCCAGGTTAAGTAAATATGTGTATAATTCCAGCGTGGATATATATAGGGAATAAAAATAAAGCCGGGATTGGAGGGTAACTGGAGTAGGGGTGAGTTTGCAAATATTTGCAGGCAAAGGGATGGTGTGGCAGAGGTCTCAAGACTGGAACGAGCTTAGTGGGTGGGAGAAGCAGCAAGAAGCCCGGTGAGACAGGAATCAAGATCAAGGTGGGAGAGAGATGGGAATGAGAACACAGAGGAAGGTAGCAGCCAGGTCATGCAGGGTCTTCAAGGCCCAGGGGAAGGACTGGATTTTATTTTAATTTTTTTAACATTTATTTATTATTGAGAGGCAGAGTGAGACAGAGCATGAGCAGGGGAGGGGCAGAGAGAGGAGGAGACACAGCATCCGAAACAGGCTCCAGGCTCCGAGCCGCCAGCACAGAGCCCGACACGGGGCTCCAACCCATGAACCGTGAGATCATGACCTGAGCCGAAGTCGGACACCCAACCGAGTGAGCCACCGAGGCGCCCCGGATTTTATTTTAAAAACCATGTAACGTAATCTGACCTGTGATTTAAAAGAGCACTCTGGGGGCGCCTGGGTGGCGCAGTCGGTTAAGTGTCCGACTTCAGCCCGGTCACGATCTCGCGGTCCGGGAGTTCGAGCCCCACGTCGGCCTCTGGGCTGATGGCTCAGATCCTGGAGCCTGTTTCCGATTCT